GCGGTTTTTTGGGGATTTGGGGTTTTTTTTGAATTTTTTTGCAAAAATATTAGGAAAATAGATAACTTTTAACACATTTTAATGCAAAAAAATTTTTGGTCGGAGTCCCCCTTTAACAGAAATTATGTCTTCTAAACAATCTAAAAAATTCTTTAAGCTCATTTTTCTTTATTTCCTGAAATTCCCAAGTTTACCAACCGCCAACTTCAAGCTTATATATCTCATTTCCTGTAAGAGATACCAAAAAATTGTCAACTGATAAAATGTTTATCAAATTATTAGAAACATTTTGTCAGTTGACCACTTTTTGATATCTTTCATAGGAATTGAGATGAATACGCTTGAAAAGACATGTCCCCCTGCCTCAAACGTCTCGGGAGGTCCTATTACTTTGATCTAAATTATCTTAATTCCTGTGAAAGATGTCAAAAAGTGGTCAACTGATAAAATACTTAACATTATATCACCAATATTTTATCCGTTGACTACTTCTCAATACCTTCTATAGTAACCCAGATAAATTGACTCAAAATTATTGGGCCTCTTAGAGGTGATAGGCAAGGAGGGGCCTGTTCCTTTAAGCCTGTATATCTCGGTTTCTCTAAGAGATATCATAAAATTGTTAAATGATAAACTGTCGAAAATATTAAGATAAACATTTTGACAGTTGACCACTTTTTGATATCTTTCATAAGAAATGAGATAAATACGCTTGAAGAGACATGCCCCTCTTGCCTCAAACGCCTAGGGAGCGTTAACTTTGAGCCCATTTATCTCCATTCCTGTAAAAGATATCAAAAAACAGTCAACTGATAAAATATTTACCAGATTGTCACCATTGTTTTATCAGTTGATAGCTTTTTGATATCTTTAAAAAGAACGGAGATATATGAGCTCGAATCTCAAATCCTTTTCAATTTGTGAAACCTCAACATCCTCTTTATTCATACATTCAATCACACAATTCACAAATAGCATTCTGCAAACCATTCAAGATCAACTAAATCGAAATTCCGTCGATTCGTTTTAAAATTTAGAATTCTAAATTTTTTTAACGAATGGAACCTTATTCAATGCCTCGCCCAACATTGCCTTAACGTCATCTGGAATGTCTTGCATTTGACGGAATTTGATTTTCAAATAAGTCAGGGCGGCACGAATTGCATAAGTGTAGAACATTGACATTGTAAAGCATCCGGCTCGCTGATCCCTCATTTTCTTAAATAGTGCATCACAATCTGGCGCCTTTCCAGCCAAAACCATCTCAATGAGAATCGCGGTGAGGACTACGGTAGCCGAACGGTCGAGACCCAAATCACACATCACCACTACCGGATCGTTTGGTTGAGTTCCCGGATGGATATCCTGTAAGTCCAAAAAAAGTGTAAAAAATCCAAAAAAAATTTTTTTATTCCAAAACTTTTAGCTTTTTGAGTAACTACGAAAGTAGTTCAGACTTTTTCGATTCCTCTGAAATTTTCAGATTATACTAAACAAAACTAGAGCTTCAACTTTGTAATTGACAACTTTTTTGAAAAATTAGGTGCTGGAGGGATATGCCACGTGGCAGTGGGCACACCAGGAGGCGCGCCCACCCTAGCGAGGGAGCAGCCGCCAAAAAAGAGGTGCACCTTCCACGTGGCATATCTTCTCAGGACTTGATTTTCATTAAAAACTGTCAACTATAAAAATGAAGCTCGTGTCTTTTTTAGTACATTCTGAAAATGTCAGCAAAATCCAACAATTTTGAGCTTGATTTTCCGACAGTCAAAACAGTCATTCTTAAACAGTCACTAATTTACAAATTTTTGACTTGCTTTTGGAAATGTGACATATCTCTTTAGGGCCTTGTTTTCTAAAAACGTTGTCAACTACAAAATTAAAGCTCTAGTTCTGTTTAGTATATTCTGAAATTTTCAGACAAATTGACAAATTTTAAAGTGCTATTGAAGGGGCTCAAAAAACGTTTAAAATTGGTTGAAAAATTGAAAAAATAATTATTTTTTTTGACTTTTTTTCGAATTTTCTAAAAATATGTTTTCTATTATAATTGATGTCATACCTTCCACGGTGCTCTAACCAATGCCAACAACTTCTTCTCCTCATTTGGAACCTTCTTCCACGGCCACGTTGTGCAGTTGAAGACGCGGACGTAATTTGCCTCACTACACCCATCGGCAACTATCTCGATGGTATAAGTGTTGACCCATGTCTTATCCCGTTCGTCAATTTCGATTCGCTGCGTATTGATAAGCCATCCGTTGAGATTCATGTAGTGCTCCGAGTAGAGTGGAAAGAATGACTTGATTTGGGTGGATTCGCACTGAAAATTTAAAATTGACACTCTAATTTTTGAATTTCCCATGTCCCAAGAATGATTTCAGTTTTTGAACGGTCCAAATCGGACCATTTTGGGCAGAGTTATAGCATTTTGAAGTTTTACTGAGGCTAACGATTCTTCTGTAGTTTGTAGTCGCTTAGCCTCAGTAAAACTTAAAAACGGCGTATCTCAGCTCCCAGTGAACCCAATTGAATGAAACAAAAACCAAAATATGTTGAAAAACTTAGACTACAAACTACAAACTTACAAACTCACTCTTCAAGAACCGTATGGATTCACACTGAAAAATCAAAGTTTTGAACGTTGAATTGCATATTTTTCAATTTCCGATGTCCCAAGGACGATTCTAGTTTTTGAACGGAGAAAATTGGATAATTTCAAACCGAGTTAGAGCGTTTTAAAGTTTTACTGAGGCTAACGAATTCTTGTAGTTTGTAGTGTAAGCCTCAGTAAAAATTCAATTGCACGTAACTCGCTTCGTTTTCATCTGATTTTGATGATTTTTTCACATAAATGTTTGGGTTTATTATTTTTTCTTAGATTATAAAAAATCAATATTGTTATCCAGTCTCCTTCCCAGCCGTTCAAAACCTCTACTGGACGCCGTTTAAGTACGAGATTTTCTTTAATTCCCCAAGTCCCAAGAATCATTTTTGTTTTTGAACGAAGAAAATTGGACCATTTTGAGCCGAGTTATAGCGTTTTAAAGTTTTACTGAGGCTTAGAGAGCTCCTGTAGTTTGTAGTCGCTTAGCCTCAGTAAAACTTAAAAACGGCGTATCTCAGCTCCCAGTGGATCAAATTGAATGAAACAAACACCAAAATGTTGAAAAATTTAGACTACAAACTACAAACTCACTCTAACAGAATTGTTCACAATTTGATCACGAGTTTGAGGTTTCGCCTCGTCTTCCGGCTGAAGCTCAGTTGCAGAAAGGGGCGTGGCCGGGGATGACATCACACTTGGAACCTTATTCCACTCAGCGATCGACTCGTCGACAAAAGGCTGAAAATTTGCTGATTTGAGTTATATATATATATATACATATATATTTCAAGCCTAATCACCTCAAAAATAGTAATAACTCTCAGAGCTTTTCGTTGTGAGACCATTCTCCAAAAATCGCGGACCGTCTCCCACATGGGATACTGTGTCATGATGAATTCTGTGTCGGACCCATCAAACTTCACAACACTGGCGTTAATGTATTCCGAATCTTCTGGAGACTGACATTTCAACTGAACACGTGTCTTATCATAGAGTTTTTGATTTTTAGATCTATTCTTTGACATATTTTTGTCCCATTCGGTCGACGTTTGATCGGCGGGTTGATAGCGGGCCAAATGCTCATCGAAATAGGTGCTCAGACTGGATTCTTCTGGAAGTTTTGGCGTTTTAGTTGAAAAATAGAGAAAATTCTGAGTAATTTGAGCTTTTGAATGTTCAAAATTGAACCATTTTCAGCCATATTACAGTTCCTGAAATTTTCTAACTTCACAAAAACCTATTCAATTTTTTACTGAGGCTTCGAAGAGTTTTGTAGTTTGTAGTCTAGACTTTTTCACACATCCTCGATTTTGTTTCGTTCAATTTGGTCCACTAGGAGCTGAGATATAGCGTTTTTAGCATTTTTTAGTTTTACTGAGACTTAGACTACAAACTACATAAGTTGTCTAAGCCTCAGTAAAACTGAAATCCCCTGTAACTCGGATAATTTTCAGCCGTTTTTAGTGGCTTTAGGCTAAAAATGCTTTAGTTTTTCAAATTTTTCGAAATTTCAGATTTTCAGAATTTTCTAAAATTCTAAATTTCGGGTTTTCGAATACTTTTAAATCTAATTAATGTTCAACTTTTTAAAAATTTTTGAACTCTTTGAAATTTTTTTTAAATCTATGTAACTCAGATTTTTGCTAACATGCTCAAAATTTTGAGGAGCTCATTTTTGGTTTTTTAGATTTTTCAAAATTTCAGTTTTTAAATTTTTTTTTGAATATTTGGGTTTTTAGAATTTTTGAAAATATTCAGATTTTGCGAATTTTCTGAAAAATCTTTAATTTCAGATTTTGGGTTTCTAGATCTCTAGAACTCTTAGAATTCTCAGTTTTTCCTTCTGATTTTTCAAAAATTCCGAATTTCGAGATTTTGAAAATCCTTTAGAATTTCAATTAAAATACTTTCAAAATTTCGGACTATTTTTAATTTTCCGATTTCAGAAAACAATTATTTTTTGAATTTATTGAATTTTTCAAAAAAAAAAATTGATTTTTGTATTTTTAGACTTTTGAACTTTTCAAAACTTGTACATCTATCGAATTATCTGAAAATCGAAAATTTTCAGATTTTGGATTTTTGGAATTCTAGAATTTCCCGAATCCTCAGTTTTCCCATTTTCTAACTTTCCAAACTAACTCATATCGAGAAGATATTTACAGAACACCTTCGCAGCTCTAGCGATTTTCAGACTTTCCGGCTCTTTTTCCTTCTCTGTCACCTCTGCCGACGATTTTCGTTTTTCTTTAGAAGTCCGCTCCCTTTCTCTCGATTTTGGCTTTTTTGGCTCCGCCGATGTCGATTTTTTGTCCTCTTTCGAGGTCTTCTTCTTCTCTGGCTGCTCATTTTCATCCTCAACAATTGTATCTTCACATTTCTTTCTTTCTTGCTTTTTACGAAATCCGTTCCTGTGCAGCTTTACGCCTTGTTTTGCTGGGCTGAAATTGGGTCAATCGAATTCCTCGCAATTTATGGATTTAGAAACTTTTTGAATTTTTAAAATCGATTAAGTTTGAAGCGAGTTACAAGGGTTTCAAGTTTTAGTACTAGAAGAAGGACGGCAAGCGCTTCACCGAGGCTTAGAGAGCTCTTGTAGTTTGTAGTCGCTTAGCCTCAGTAAAACTCAAAAGCGACATATCTCAGCTCCCAGTGAACCAAATTGAATGAAACAAAAACGAAAATGTGTAGAACAATTTTGACTACAAACTTCAAGATTGTCACATTTCTTTTTTCATGCCTCTCCTAAAATCCGCTTTTTTGGAGCTTTGTGACTGATATTTCAAAGCTAAAATTTTGTTATTTGGATTTCTCGCAATTTATGGATTTAGAAACTTTTTGAATTTTCCAAATCGGTTAAGTTTGAAGCGAGTTACAGGTGTTTCAAGTTTTACTGCTAGAAGAAGGACGGCGCGCGCTTTACTGAGGCTTAGAATTCTCCTGTAGTTTGTAGCCACTTAGCCTCAGTAAAACTTTAACCCTTCATATCTCCGCTCTCAGTGGTCCAAATTGAATGAAACAAAAACGAAAATAGGTTGAAAAATCTAAACTACAAACTAAAAATTGTCACATTTCTTTTTTTATGCCTACTTTTAAATTCGCAAGTCTGGAGCTTTGTGGGTGACTTCACTATGCTAAAATTATGTGTTCTGAATGTCTCGCAACTTTTGGGTTTAGAAACTTTTTGAATTTTTGAAATCGGTTAAGTTTGAAGTGAGTTATAAGCGTTTAAAGTTTTATGGCTATTTGTAGTTTGTATACACTTAGCCTCAGTAAAACCTTTGCAGCCTCTTCCCTGAGGCTTATCGAGCTTTTTGTAGTTTGTAGTTTCTGAGCCCTAAATGTTCATTGCGGTGTATCTCAGCACCTAGTGAACCAATTTTGAAATTTCAAAAAAGGAAAATACTTCAAAAACTCCGAAAAATTCATTTTCGTGGTTTCCAACCCTACTTTGTTTTCCGATGCATTGTTTTCCGAGCACTATTACTCGAAGATTGGAGAGATCGATTTTGAAACTGACCGTTTTTGGGGGAGTTGGTGGCTTTTTGGCTTTTTTTTTGAGTTGGCACTTTTTTGTGGCGGCCTAGATTTGATTTTTGAGGCGACACAGTTTGGCACGTTCTTGGAATTTCAATTTTGAAAATTTGAAAAATCTGAAAAGTCTGAAAATTCTGAAATTTTTGGAAATCCATGAAATTCAAAAATTTTGATTTTCTCCACAAAAAGTGGTAAATTCAGAAATTTCAGAACTTTTTTACCAAAAAATTTGAAAGTCCCAAAAACTGAAATATCCAAAAAACTTCAAAAGAAAGTTCAAAAAATCATAAATTCTGAAAATTTTTAGAAAGAATTTCCAAAAAAAAAAATAAATGAATTCTGAAAATTTCTAAATTCTAAGAAAACCATCTGGATTACTGTAGTTCTGTTTTTTTCCCAATTTTTCAATTAATTTCCTTTTTTTGGGGAATGTGTGAGAAATAATTTTAATGACCAGAATAAATCAAATGTCCAAAAAGAGAAAAGGGAATTTGCCGAAAAATTTATGACCCATCAAAAGAAAGATAATTAGAAAAAAAAGAGAAAAAATTAGATAAGGGGGTGTGGAGAAATTTGAGAAAATTGGGGAAAAAAATTAGATGATCTGGCAACATTCCTGGGACGAAAACAGACAAAAATAGACAAAATTTTGGGTATAAAACAATTGAAAATTGGAAAAAAAATAGTTAAAGGTGGGGGGACATGAGAAAAATAATGTTGTCGAAATTTCGTTTAAATATGCTCCTCGAGGAGTTGAACTTGTCGAGGCGAGTGTTGAAGGTGCGGCGCCGCTACCGACTGAGCTACGCGTGCAAAGAGAAAGCCGTTGCCCGATTGCATGGATAAAGGCGAGGGCGACTGCTGTACGCAGAGTGACATTAAGCGTTGTACACCGTCACGGTAAAATGCATACCCTGGCCCCAAAAATCCCCCGTAAAATCTCCTGTCCCCCCACCTTTAAAGGTGGTGTACGGTGAAATTTTTTATAGCATCAAAATGTGCAGAAATACATGTAGATTGACATAAAAATATAGAAAAAATTCAAAAAAAATTCCTTCATCGAGAAAAACGCATCGAAAAATACGCTGAAAGCCCTTAGGGACGAGGTTTTTTCTAGGCCGCCCGGTGAGTAAAAGCGCGCGAATTCAAACTTTTAATATTTTTTCGTTCGTTTTCACTGTTTTTTTTGTTTTTTCAAGAGTTTTCTAGGTTTTTTTCAATTTTTCTTCCAGATACATCGGAAAATTTGAAAAAAAAACAGTGAAAACGAGCGAAAAAATTTTAAAAGTTTGAATTCGCGCGCTTTTACTCACCGGGCGGCCTAGAAAAAACCTCGTCCCTAAGGGTTTTCAGCATATTTTTCGATGCGTTTTTCTCGATGAAGGAATTTTTTTTTGAATTTTTTCTTTATTTTTATGTCAATCTACATGCATTTCTGC